CGCCATTCACCTTGTCATAATGAAGCGCCTATTTCTATTGGTCACTAAAGAATTTGTGATACCGTAACACATACAAATTGATCGTTATCTTTTTCTAATAGTGACATTTATGATAGCTATCTCTTTCTAAAATCAGATTAAAATTATGTTTTCATTTCTCATGACACAAAAATGTCAAAATTTCTAACCTCGAATCGATTGCCGGAAACAATACATTGAAATTGCTTTTAAGAAGTATAATAAAATAAACAATGGTTTAATTTTAAGTTGCATTAAAAATATCTGGTTATATTTTCAATTACTTAGTCTCCATGAGAAGAAAAAAACAGTCAATCTAATAAAATGTTTATAATAGTTTCTCAAAATCTAGACCTAGACATTCAAAAACGATAGTGAGCTGTTGCAAACTACCATCGTGCTTTTGTATTTATTTTGATGTAAGTAAAGATAATCTTGAATTATTTTTGTTTCCAATTTTGATATACATTTATGAAACGTACCTATCACTTAGTAGTTATATAATGGTACCTACCTTTTTGCTTAACACTTAAAACTGGATCCATTTCAAAATTATGGGTAAAAATTTGACAATAAAACAAGAAGTGCCTCATAAATATACCACCTAAAATTCCTAATAAAGGCTCTTAAAACTTACCTGTTATTTATTGTATTCTTTTTAAACAGGAATGTATAAATAAATTACCTACAATATGAAAAAAAAACTTATTAATTATTTTTATTTGAATTCATTATAAATATACAGGGTGTTTTAAAAAGATTGATCGTAAATTATACCACATATTTTTGGTTCAAAATAGGTCCATACCGTACTTACCTTTATATAAAAGTGCACCCAAAAATAGTTACAGGGTGTATAAGATAAAAATTTAAATGAACTTTTTTAACGTTGCTCTTAAACCGTTTGGCATTTTTTCATGAATTTTATATGACCGTGTTAAAATACCGTGACTAATAATACCGAGAAAGAGGCAATATTTTTTTTCTTGATTTATATAGGTTTTTGGAGGGGATCACCGCTTTTTTCTCCACTCAACTTTTTTGTAGTATAAAATTTAATTCCAAATGAAACGCCACTGGAATACAACATCCATTTGAAAACTTTTTTGTCTTTTAGTATTTGTTTGTAAAAAGTTTAGTTTAGACGATACAGCCATTTGAAATGACATATTCAATGGAAATTTTACATATGAAAAATATCAAAATAAAGTATATTTTTAAATTACAAACTAATGTCATCAAAATAAAAAAATTTAATTTAACAGGTGTTCAAAATTACATTCTTCTCCTGTATACACTTACTACATAGTTTTAACAATGAAAATCGAATTTTGATATTTTTGCATATGTATAATTTACATTGAATATTTTTAAGATGTCATTTTAAGTGGCTGTATCGTCTAAACTAAACATTTTACAAACAAATACTGAGAGACAAACAAGTTTCCAGATAGATGTTGCAATTCAGTAACGTTAGATATTTAATAAAATTTTGTATTACAAAAAAGTTGACTAGAGAAAGGGGCGGTGACACCCTCCAAAATCCTACAAAAATAAAAAAAAATATATTGTCTCTACCTCGATTTTATTAGTCATGGTATTCCAATACGTCATATAAAATTTAATGAAAAAATGTCAAACGGCTTAAGAGCAACATTAAAAAATTTCGTTTAAATTTTATCTTTCACACCCTGTAACGATTTAATCGACCTATTTTTGAACCTAGAATACGTGGTATAATTTATGACCAATCTTTCTGAGACACCCTGAAAAAACACTGTTCTAAAAAATTTAGCTGGCTTCATAATATCATTTAGTTTATGTTTATCAAAAAAAACTTCTAATATTTGAACTATTTAAAAATTTGAAGATTCCACACAAAAAGTCCATTATGTTTCTTGGAACGCAACATTTGCAGTTGAATATGCTAGTATAATTTTCTGGTTTTTGCACTGGATATAAATCTATTCATTCTTATTATTTATAAAAGGCACAAATTTAATGTTTTCAATTCGAAGAAGAATAGACACCCTCAAATCAATAAAACTTTAAACTTTTGACAACAGTGGCGTTTTCTAATAACACAATGTTGATGTTATATAAGGTTATTCACTTCGATGCTGTTCAGAAGCCACAACAAGAAAGCAACACTATGTTTGCACCTATCTTCGAAGCAGAATATTCTGTGAATTTAAAATATGACCTTTTCCTTTTGTTCATTTATTACTGAATAACGCTATAAACTTTTTGTGTTCTGGTGTAATTCTAGCTTTAATATGGTAACCGAACATATTATAGTACACTTCCTTGGTAGAATGGTAAACCTACAATAGAATAGAAAATATTTAACAATATTGAGTAGTGAGTTTATATAATAAAAAAATGTTTCTTTTTTAAACACAAATCTCTTTGAATACAATAATTATATAAAGATTTGGAGCTTAGAAAGTGTACTTACGTTGCAAATTTCAGAACCAAAAAACTTTATATTATTTATATAAAAAAAATCATTATTCATATTAGAATCCACCTAGGGTAAGGGTCTATTTATATTCCCTTATTATTAGTATTTGCATTAGTATTATGATTAAGCATTAAATTGAACCTTCACAATGTAATGGGAATATTTATACTCGATTTATGATTAGTATTAGCATTAATATTTATGCTTAGTAATTGACAGGTTCAACTTTTAAATTAAATATTAAATTTCTTCTTTTCTATAAAATGAATCAATGGCGTATTTGGCCTTTGTTTTTAATAGACAACGGATAAGGATAATTGACAATATACATATGATTATGTTGTTTATTTGTTTGTTCCAACAAGCTCGAAAACGATAATTTTTCGGTACAAATCATGCTCTATATACAATTTTTGTGTATCAGCAGTGTTTACCGATTATAAAGTTGACAAATGACATGTCACCATGAGGAAGCAAAGGCCTCTTTTCTGTCTGATTTGTATAAAATTTCTGCTTCTTTTTATCTGTTATAAATTTGAGACTTAAATCCGTTAAAATGTCCTTATATAAACCTATTTTTAAATAATATTAACTAATTAACTAGTAAAAATATTAATAAAAACACATTTAAAACTCAAATATCTTAAAAGAACACAACCGGCCTCTTACACATTTCTTCAGTAACCATATATTTTGTTGACTGCAGAATTATATGTTATTAGGTATTAGGTTTAAAAAAGAATTACTAATACTTAATTATAAAACGAGTATAAATACCTTTTTTGAAGGATTTAACAAATTTAATGCTTAATCATAATACTAATACAAATACTAATACTAAGGGAGTATAAATAGACCCTAAGTTGTCTAAATATTCTTATTTTAATCCTGTCTGTACTTTAGCCAGTTTTAAAAAATTCAATATTAATTTTAAACAAATCAAAATAATCTCGCAATCGAAAACGAGGTTACGATTTAGACGCACAGCTGATAACACGTTGCAGACTTAGAAAAAATATTTCGCGACATGGCGATTATGATTTAAATAACATTTCGATTAAGAAGAAAGTTTATTGAAATAGTAAGTTACTTCATAAAAACTGAATTTAAACAAATACTGTTTTTATGTTAAATTATACGATCTTAACCTTAAATTGTCGCTTATCCGGAATTTAAATAATTCTTTATAAGTAGCAGCAACAAGGTAAAAACATATCGCCAATTGTCTGGAAGGTTAAAAATTAGCCAATCAGATTTTAGAGTTTCATTAAGACGATGTTTTAAAATCACTGTGGCCCGCGTTTCAAATTTGCTTGATGTTTTTTTGAATTTTAAATAATTCTTGTAGGAAAATTTAAAAAGAAACAAATTAAAAAAAAATATTGTTAGATTAGATTTTGTGCTAGCTTTTTGAAAAAACTATTTTTGAATTTCACTAAACACGCCCATTGACGAGGTACAGTTATAATTATTTTGGAAAAATAATGTTTACAAAAAAAAACAGATTTGTTTACATGAATTTGACAAATTTATATTGAAAAATCCAAACAAAATAATATTATTTAAAAAATAAAAGGACTAAAAAAAATTGTAATGCTGGTTATGAACGTTTTTTACGTGTCAATGATATTGGAAAACTATTGCCCTATTAAAAAAAAAATAGTAAAACTCGAAATGAATACCATATATTTGATTGATCTTAAGGAAAAACAGAGATTGCGACACTCTCGGTAATACAAAATAACTTATTACGAAGTACTGTCCTGAGCTTGATGATTACTCTTTGCTGAGTGCAGTTTCTGTCATTGACACTATCACTTACAATTAGATAATTAGTTAAAATTCCACTTAAGCTATACATTCTATAATTTTTACCGTCCAAAATCGAAAATCTAAAATTTTCAAAACAAATGGTTAATAATTTTTTTTTTATTAATTCATTACTTTTAGTATTTTATAAAACTAAAATAAATAAAAAAAAAGTCTTCAACTGGGATTTAAACTCCGGACCTTTTGCACGGGAAGTGAGTACGCTATTTTGCGAATTTTTTTAATACTGATAATTGGATTTGTTATAGATAGTTTTAAAAAAATATACCTATTTGTAAATATAGACAAATATCTTGTGAAATGCATGTTGAATTTATCAATTTATCGCAAGAATAAATCGTTTTTAATACCTAATATTTAATCTGAACAAAAATATATTGAAAATTAGATTGACAGAATTGTCACTTATTAAAAAAAATGTTAGTAGCCGGTCCCCAAGTACAAACTGTGGTGGATTTCATTACTAGAATGGATATGAAATTATATAAGTTCAGTAGAACGCAATCACCTACTTTTTCGTTCTGTAGTCTGTGGGTAGAATAGATGATATCCATATAGGTGTAGCAAAAAAATATTTTATATTATTGTTATAAATATTAGGATATTTTTCTATTATTAAATTAATTTCCTATTACTATATATTTAGCAGAAATTTTTAAATAATTTTTTAATATGAGTTTTATTATGTTTTATTTAATTATTCTCAAATATAATATGCCTCTCACTATAAAGTAAGAACATTTTAAATGATTTTTTTTATTAATTTTATAGTTTTTTTTTGTTATATAGAGACGATCTTAATAAAAATAAATTAATACCTATAAATATCCTTTCAGTAATAATCGTCCTTTCTTTTTATTTATACAGGATGTTAGTATATTCCTACCCCAAAGGGCTCTCGTTAATTAATAAATTTTAATAAACGCACTTGGACTCTTAAAGGATGTAGTTTCCGAGATACAGGGTGTTAAAACTTTTAAATCAAACTTTAATATTTGCTATAAATCAAAAATGCATTTAAATATTTTTTAAAATGTAGCAATTAATAAGCTCAATTCAAAACACTTAAATATTTGTTATTATATATCCGGGATATAATAAGATTATCCTATTGCAAATCATATAAAGCAGTATTAAGTAAGTTGATAAAGTCGTTTTTTATTTTCCTACAAATTCTCATTACGTCAGCAAACAAAAGTTTCTTAGAATTCAACAAAAAATATCGTTATAAAAAATAAATAATAATTATTCAAGCCCTGAAGCGTCTCTAACATTGACACAAAATTAAAATATTTAGCACCGTCACATTTAATACGTAATGTCTGCATGATTTTATCTCAAAAAAATATGTAAATCATTCAAACCTAGAGTAGTACCCTCACCTTAGCAGAAAAAATAAGAAAACTAATTATAGATTTTCAGAGTAGGTTTTTTTTATTATCGTACATTTTAGGTTCAAAGTCATGCGGGAACTGCTGTTTTGAATTGTCTGCCAACGTTACTATATATAGCATAATTTTGTGATTTGAAGGATTTTTTTTGTATCCATAAATTCATTCTTTATGCACATATAATATTAAAAAATAATTACTTTATTATGTGAAAACTGAACGCAAGGATTTTTTTTTTAGTACAATGAAAATTATCCTTATATTCAAAATTCCTGGAATTATCCGAACTATTATGGCCATAATTATTATCCTTCCATCCATGGACATTTATCAGGAATGATGCAATCAGCAGCTCAATACTACCAGCAACCACACCATTCACAAATATATGGAGACTATAATAGAAGAGTCAATAATGAAAATAATGTCTTCAATGCGCATGGTAAGTCATTTAAACATAATTGGTTGGTTTATTCCTTTAATAAATCCGTATTAATGAATTGGTTATATAAAATAAAAATTCTTGAATTCTCTTCTGTTGCTTGAAACTTGTTAAGTATTTAACTTAACAACAAATTTAAACACGTTTTGAATATTTTTACTTTTAATTAACAATATACACATTTTACAATTTTTTACAATAGTTCTGTAATTTGAAAAATATATAAAATATGGTCCTTTGCTATACTTTGTTTTTAAACTAGGAGGAATAAATTAAAAAAACGCATTAAAATAGAGAAAACTAACTAGATTCGTTACTAAGAGCATGTTCCGAAATATTATAGTCGTGTTCAAAATTTATGTAAGTTGTTATTATCGGCCCTAGTCAGCGAACGGCCAATGAGGGGTTCAGGAACAAATAAATGTCATAGGAATCGATGTATTTATTGGTTCCAGACAACGGTCGTAAATTTCACATTATTGTGATCTGAAAAGTGTGTCTAAAACGAACTGTCACTGTCAAATGAAATTTAATATAAACCGTTTTAAAGCGATGAACCAGAAATTACCATGGTTATACCCTTGGTTAACCTTGAAATCACGTGACTAAAGCCCTTAAAAGATAACTGGTTATTGTAACGCATTAACGTTCAATCGTTTTTAGGGAATATGACAAGAAATTTTGACATTTAATTTCTAGGTTAATTTTATGAAACTGGCCGAAATAAAATTGTGTGATGTTGATATGTTACCAAAAAGAATTATATTTGTATAGACTGGATGTTACAATTCAATAAGGAATAGTTTGACATGTTTTTTACATGGTGTCAGAAGAATTTTTTGATAATTTACGTAGCTAATGTCATTTCCAATTTTGACTGAGCTGATTCTATAATCTAACCAAAAAACACTAATTGCATGTCACTTCCACTTGTCATTATTAACCCACATCTGGACTCAGGTATTTACCGGTTATAATTAATGACGTTTTAAAGGGCTTAAATATGACGTTATAGAAAGTAACCAAGGATAACAGATCCGCTTTAATTAAAACGCAAATTACCGGTTGATCGCTTTAAAACGATTTTTGTCGTTAATTTGTTGACATTATCAGAAATATGTTTTTCTTGCTTTTGAAATCAACTTTTTGAGGATTATGGTTTTTTTAAATGGATATTGAATATTTATGAAAATTGTTAAAAGAATATCAAGATGCAGGTTAGTAAAAAACAAAGATATAATCGTTTTACATTTTCAATGATATATTTGTTATAGATATAAACGTAAGTAAAAGGTAATCAGTTATTAGCAACTGGATCACACAATGACTGGAATTTCTCCTATAAGTAATATGGACGTTGTAGCTTATTTAGTGTTAACTCATAGTTAATAAGCTAAAGGGTAAATGAAAACATTCAAAAGTTTACAGACCTTTCAGGATTTGTCTTGAAAACTGGAACCAACATTTTCATAACACTACATGTCAACGTTATATCATTACTAAAACTAATAATATTGTAGGTCCTTTTAACTCAAGTTATAATTTTTACCTATATTTTTTAAAGTGATTATTCATACATAACTATATATTAGTAGATTTTTTAAAATATTTCTCGTGGAAGTAATCTTAGCTCAATTATGCTAAATTAAGATTATCTCTAATGTAGTAGATGGTATTCTAAATGTGAATTAACAATTTTGTAAATGGTTTTATTATTTTCTAATAAATACTTGAACCTTTAGTTATTTTTATTCATTTTGGTAAGAAATGTATCAATTTTTAGTTTTAAAATATCAGTAATAAAGTTGTTAGTTTTCTTCTGGAATACTTCGAAATTCAGCTCTTCATGGTAATATCCCGTCTTTTTGCCTTTAAAACTAATAATGTATTTTCTACAAAACCCTCTTTAGAATCAGCATGTAAAATAATAAGTCCGTCTTCCCTTTCTTATAGGGCTTCTCAGGAATTTCTACCCTTAATAGTACTCAAAGAAGGATCCATAATCGTAGAAATTCAATACAATTGCTTACTGAAAAGAACTATTATTTACGAAATAAAGTAAAAAAACTAAGTAATAATGATGAGATATCAAAATATAAAACGTCAAAACTGTCAACAATATGAACTATTAGCTGATGTTAATGCTAAAAAGTGATGTGTGAAACTAACTGCAATCTGACCAATCAGAAGTCTTCATAATTGCTAACTTAAATTCAAATCGCTCCTCCTAGTTGAAAACCAGCGTATAAGAACTCAGTCATTTAGATGTCGGTAACTCAAATAAATATATTGAACAATAATTTAAATGAGAAAACCAAACATGGTAGATTCACAAACACTTTTATTTAAAAAAAAATATACACAATATGTACATTTAAAGTTGTGTAATTTTTAATTTTAATTTTTTTTTTTTTAATAAAATATATAGCATGTTTGGTTTTTTCGTTTTAATAATATGGATTTTCAACAAGTAAATGAAGAAACAATCAAGAATTTGAATAATAATTTGATAAGAGTTTGGTTAAACCGGTGTTTTTCTACAATATGACTAACTGGTTGATTGTTTAATTTGAAATTTGTTGCAAAATGATTTCAGTCGAATAATTTCGACTAAGAAAAGATTGAAACGATCACTGATCGTTGTTGCTGTATAAACTTCCAACTTTTATATCTTTGATTAGATCAAAGTAAAGTTTGAAAAAATACTTTTTTTCTGCGACGGGAAAAAATTTTGACATTTTATCTCTCTTGTCAGGTAACAAAATATCACTTTTATGAAATTACTTTCTTCCCCGTTTCCCCGGGAATAAAGTGAGTTCTTTTTTACCGGTTATATATACACAAGCAAACGTAGATATTTTTTTCAATATTAAATCGTCGTTTTCCCCGTTTAAAAAAAAATAGGGTTAAAATTTAATACTATTTCCCTTGTATAATAAATAACTATTTATTTTGGTTTGCTGTCACTTCTCAGATTCTCGAATTTATTCATAAATTATTTTATTTTTTATTTCGTTCTGGCTCTAATAATTTATTTTGTTAATTGTTGAGGTTTATAAGAGAAAACAATTTACACTGTTAGGCCACTGATCTGTAGTTACATTGAACAGTATCTTATAGGTTTTTTTTTTAATTATTTATTTTTGATAGATTACATTGCACCATATTTCATATTCAAATAAATATTCAAAAACAGAAAAAGGTAATACAAATCTACATACACCGTACACTAAGAAAAATCATTAATTATGTGCCATGTTCCATTTTCACTTAAAAAGCAAACAAATAATTTAATAAAAACACAGACACAAAAAACACGAATGACATAAACCCTGGAATAACTGTTGAAAAATGGATCATTCAATACCGATATTTTTACAAAAATATATTTTTTACTGAGCCTACATATAGAAAACTTTTTTATTATTAGTTTTTGGAAAAAAATATTATTCTTCATAAAAAATTGAGCATGGTCTAAAACCTAAAATATAGCTATCATATATTAATTTTTTTGAGCTGTATACGAGGTGCGTCAAAAATATTTTTTGCTCAAGAGTAAAGCACTTTAATTTTTTACTTACGTAGACACATTGTAGATAAATAAATACCCATCAACTTTCTAGAGCTAATGCTTCTGTTATTTTCAATAATTGTTCTTTTAACGATTTCTAAATACCCTTAAAATTGAAAACTCAACTTAGAAAATATACCCTTGTATTGAATTCATAAAAGCTTGTATATAGACCAGTCGAATTACGATATTTAGATGAAAAAAAAAAAAATAAATTGTTAATAGGATTTTAATAAGTGTAAATGTTAGAGGGGCTTATATTAAATAAAAAAAAATAAGTGCAACTGGGGAGGGTTGAAGTTTTAGGGTGTAGAAAAATGGTATTATCGCGTTTTCCGATGAAAGTTGACGTCAAAAACAAAAATGTATTATGCAAATGTTGCAGATCAAGCAATAATTTACAGCTTTTGTAGAAGTTATTTTTTAAAATAACCTCAAAATTTTCGATAAAAATGCAAAACAGTTTGCTCGAATTTTTAACGTTCGTTTTCTGTTTTTCTTTTTCCAAAAATAATTCAATTTTGATGAAATTATATTTTTTTGTGTCTTTATTAAGCAAAACATTTTTTAAATAAAGAGACATTAATTTTTTTCGGTAAAGAAATTCTACGGTGAAAAATTATCATAAAAAGTTCTTCATTACAAATTTTTTTCGTTTTGACATGCGGTTTTTGATAAAATAAAAAACATTATAGTCACTATTAAAAAAACATGCTCAAAACGGGATAAAAACAAAAAATGGCAATGGCAACAATGAATTAATCCTGAACTATTGATATAATTTGTCTTTAACAAAAAACTTATTTTACCATTCAGTTGTACGAAAAAAAAAAAAAAAAAAAGCAACTGTTTTTTAATTTTTGGCTTGAATTCTTATTTTTGTATTCGGGGTAGAACTTTAAATGGAACTAATTCGCTAGAACCGCAGGGTAAAATATTTGTATAAAACGCAAAAACAAGTTCCCCCTTTTAAGGGGTGAAACTTAACCACACTTTTTTTTTAATGGGATGATACTACTTGTGGCACCTTGTTCCGAAGCTCTTTTAAAAAGAAAATTGGCTTTGCAATTTTTCTCATTTTAGTAAAAAAAATTTCTAAAAAATAAAAAAATAGACCCTAAAATGTGTCTAAAAATTTTTTTGAGGTCATTAATCCTAAAACTTATGCAATGTTTAACCTAGCTAGTTGCATTTCCGATTTTTGTTTGTGGTCGGTAAGCTTTACAATTATTAGAGAAAACTGTGTATTCGCTACCAAATTAAAATGAAAAAAAAAAAAAAATTGCCCTTGTCATTTTTCTTGGTAAAAGAGCTTTCGAACAAAATACCACAAGTAGTATCACGCCATTTAAAAAAAAATAATTGTGGTAGGTTTCGTCCCTTAAAACGATGACTTTTTTTTAATAGAAAGACAACAAAAACTCAACTGACCGGTTTTTGCGTTTTAACCAACCATTTTATCCTGCGGGTCTATCGAATTAGTCCTCACCCTGTATACAAAAATTAAAATTCTGCTCAAAAAATAAGAAAACAGTTGCTTTTATATTTTTTGAATGGTGCAATTAGTTTTTTAATTTTTTTTAATGAAACAAATTAATTTTATTAATATTCATCGTAGCATTAAAAAAATATGTTTTCTATCTAAAAACATTAATTTCTCATTTTTTGAATTTTTTTATTTAGCCTTTTTTTTGCTTATTTAAGACACAAAAGGGTATAATTTATAATTTAGCCAAACTTCATCAAAATTAAACTATTTTTGGAAGAAGGAAAAACTAAAAACAAATCCGGGAAAATTCGAACGAACTTTTGCATTTTTATCTAAAATTTTGAGGTTATGTCAAAAAGTTCTGCAAAAGCTGTAGTTTTTTGCTTAATCTACAAATTCTGCATTATATATTTTTTTACGTCAACTTTTTGCGGAAATCGCGAATATGCCATTTATCACCCCTTTTCAACCCCCTAAAACTTTACTTTCAACCCCCAGCTTGCATTTATTTTTTTTTATTTATTATAAGCTATTATTTACACATATCAAAGCCTCTTAACAGTTTTTTCTCAAAGTTAAATTTGAATGGACCAATAGTCACAATATTGCAAACGCTTTGTTTTGCAGTTTTTATATTCTTTTCTAGTTAATTTATATTTTGCTTTGATATTCTTACATAAAACTTTTTTAGTTAATTTGTCTATCAAAACCACCAAATTCCGTTTTTAATAATAATTTTATGCATGAAAAATATAGTCAATGATAGACATCCTAATAGATGTGTTTTTGTTAAATATGACCTGCGCTTTTCCATAAATCTAATGATTATTTTTATTTCAGAATCATTGTTGAAAAAGCCAAGGGGAATACGTTCATTATATTCCGCCAAACAGATTTTTGAGTTGGAAACCTATTTCCAAAGTAAGAAGTATCTTCCAAGAATGGATCGAGCAAAATTAGCCCAGAAAATTAAGTTATCGGAAAAACAGATTAAAGTTTGGTTTCAAAATAGAAGAATAAGACATAAGAAAGTTTTAAGTTCAGGTCCTAATCCTACCTTCCAGGCAACATCAACTAACATGAAAGAAGATAGCGTTAAAGTCAAAATTGAGCCAACAGGAAACGAGGTGGAGATAAATAAAAATACAATTGATGAAAACGCTGAAGCGTTTGTATTAAGGGACATACAGAACTTCACACAAGCTGAAGAATTTTCCCAAGATGCCAATTTTATAACGACTCGACCAGAAGAAGTTCAGCATATTCTTAATGCTCTTGTAGGTATTCAAAAATAATATTGTATATTAAATACATAAGAAATCATATTCACCATAGAGGCCAGTCATTTTGGAATATTTATTAAATTGAAATAATTGCTAATTTAATTTTGCAACTTTTTCTCAGGTCCGGAACATATTAATAATTCCAAAAAATTTAAAAAAATGCAAAAACATTACATCAAATTTGCAACTTTTTTGAAAGTCCAGAACATGATTTTTTTTTGTAAAATAGTGTTTTCGTCTATATCATAAACAAAAAATTGCAAAAAGTTCTGCACACCGATGACATAATGCATACACGTTTTTGGAACAGCTATTCCAATTTGTAACCTTTTATTTTGCACGGAAATATTTTTTTTTTTTGTAAAAATATCAAAATAATTTTTGATTTTCCTGTAATTTTGTCAAAAAAATGCAAAAGTTTTAAAAACTGGTTGCAAATGTAAATAATATTTTTCTTAACAACATGCAACTTCGAACAAGGTCCGGAATCTTGAAAAATAAACAAAAATCAAGAATTCGCACCATGGCGATTTAAGGTCTATGCACACTATACCGTACCATACTATGACCGTGCCCGGACCTGATTTTTTTTTGTATAGATTCAAATGAGGATGGTGTGGTCGATGCCGGGCCGGTCTAGTGGGCATTTGCTCATTTAAATCTATACAAAGAATATTTTTCTGCCTATGCCGGTACGGTCACGGTCATAGTATGATCCGGTGTAGTGGGCATAGACCTTTAATTTAATTTTATCTTTAAACATCTTTATAAATACAAACTAAAAGAAAAATGTACAATAAAAAGTTGCGTGCAGAGTATTAGAAGTGCGGATATATAAAAGTTATAACTGAAGGTGGAGCATAAATATAAAACTAATTCCAAGAATAAAATAATATTAATCATTATTTTAACTATTGCATGCATGTCCTTGAAAATGGGATTTCTTACAACTAACAAAAACCCAAAAGTTATAGACAGTGGCGGCTCGTGGTAATTTAAAATGGATGTTCACTTTTTTCAATAATTTTATCATTTGTAAGTTCGATTCAAAACTTTGTACAAGTGCTAATATCGCTGTTTTTTTTTATTATTTGAGTTTGTATTAATTGTAGTTATAATTATCAACATCATACTATTTTCAAGCACTACAACTATTATTAAATGAATGTTTTAGTTAGTGTAATATTTGTTTTGTTTTTAATATGTTGAAAACCATCTATTATTAGTTAGTAAACTAAATTTTCTTCATAATTTGAGATTAATTTTAAATATATATTAGGTTATGTAGAAAGCCTAACATTGATTTTTGTCTAAAAAATATATGAAACTTTACCTACCATTTTTCAGTTTTTATTGTAGGTTTAATCATTTTCACAATTTATTACAGATGTCAAATAAAAAGTATATTTTTTAAATACCTTTTATTGGCAAATAAAATAAGAACTAAAATGTTTTAAATGTTTATTTTATAAGATCAGTCCCATCACAATACATAATATTACAGATACAAACTAGAATAAAGATATATAATGCATGATACTCTTCGCAGTTTAACAGACCCCCTAACGCCTATTTTCAACCAGATTGTTTTCACAATCAATAGGCCTTATCTCCTTATAGAGATTGATTTTTACTAAACATTTCATGTTGATATCGCTTTTTATTTTGATTTTTTTTTGTAATTTCAACCACTCCTTAAATCCCCCATATTTAATCAGTTTTTTTTTAATAATTGAAGGGCTTCTCCTTTTAGAGCTTGATTGCTAAAAATTTTAAGTTGATATCATTTTTCGGTTAGGATTTTTTTTTAAATATTTTAACCCCCTTTAACTTCCCAATATATTCATATTTTTTTCAGTATCAATAGGCTTTATCTTCTTATAAAGCTTCATTTTTACTAAAAATTTCATGTATTCGCTTTTCGTTTTTAATTTAGGAATTTTTTTAATTTCAACCCATCTTAACCCCCTATTTTTAATTAGTTTTCTTAAAGATCAATAGGCTTTGGCTTCTTATAGAGCTTGATTTTTTTTTAAATTTTTAAGTTGATATCATTTCTCGTTTTTGACTCATCGTGCAGACAAAAAACGCGACATTTAGATTAGAAAAATTTTATTTACAGGCAGCTAAATAAAATAAATCGACACTACCAAGTCTACAAGACTTTTCGAGCGGGCCCACTGGACCATGGTGAACATGTTTGCCTATTAAACTTATCTGCGATTTAAAATTGGGAAATATAACAGCTCTCACTTCTTACCGATGCGGTATCATTGAGGGATTATGATGGGTTTTGAAGAGGGAATGAAAAAGTGTTTATGTCTTTGTGGAGTTTTAGTTATTGCTTAGTCCCCTAAAAAAGCTAGAAAAAACAGTGTTGTCTTTGTGTGTACTTTGGTCATGTATAGTCTTTGTTTAATACTACAGCTCACTTGCAGGATGAACGATGAATCACCCGCCAGCGTATCAACCGCGAATGTAAAGAGTTCGCGCTCAGTGCTCTAGCGGCTGATCCACCGCGGAGTCCGCTTTCCGACAAGATAGTGTAGATACCTAGCCGAAGTGAGATGTTATTTAGTTTGTTTGTCGCTGCTATGAGGGATGTTATCGTCTTTGTCTGTAAATGTTGAGTCTTGAATGTATGCAACTGTGTTTTCTACGCACGTTGTCCCCCCGATATATGCTCAAGATATCATCTTTTACATAATCTGGAACACACTGCAGGTAGAAATTTTCGGCTGTCTTGAGTTTGAAGTCTTTGAATAAAGGGGTGTCTGTCTGGGCGCGCATGTCTGCTATTCGTACATAGCGATCGTAGCCCAGCGCTAGCCTTAGACATCTGTTTTGGGAGGATTTGCAATTTGTTATAATGACTATTTACCATCGGGCAGAAAACCGTTTATATGGCTATCCAGTTCCCTTACTGCTGTTTCCGCGGATCTATCGCTCTTGAATATACTAATGTCGTCGGCGTACAGTGCCGTTTGTACCCCATTATCACTCATTGCCAAGTCATGGGTGATAATGGTATACAAGTGAGGCGACAGTACTGAGCCCTGGGGTACTCCCGCTTGCAGAGTATAAGGTCCTGTCGTTGTGTTGTTAATATTTACATTAAATTGTCTGTCTGTAATGTATGACTAAATTATTTTGATAATGTGAACGGGAAAATCATTCACAAGCATTTTGTGAATTAACCCGCAAGTCCACACGGTATCAAAAGCTTTTTTGCTGTCAAGCGACACGAGCACCGTTTGTAGGCCATTATTACATGCCTATTTAATGCTATGCATGATTCTAATGACCTGGACCACGGAGCTGTGTCCACTTCTGAAACCGTACTATTCCTGCGGGATAAGTCGTAATTGTTCTTCTGTTTTTCTAAATCTATTTAATATAATTGTGTCTACTATTTTATATATTGTATTTAACAGCGAGATGGGTCGGTATGTGTCAATTCTATTGGGATTTTTTTCCGCATTCAAAATTGGTATGATATTTGCAATCTTCAGGCTACTGGGGTAATGTTGTAGCCTGAATATTGCGTTTATTACATAATAGAGTTACACAACCCCCTTTTAGGGATGTTTTTGAGTTAAAAGGTTATTAATGTCATCAAGACCCGGAGCTTTTTTATTTTTGAAACGTTTAATTGTGTCCCCTACCTCTTTAGGAGTGGTCATTAAGGAGTTGCGTACGTGGACTGGGTCAGACTCTCCCAGGTCTCTGACAATGCCTTGGATGACGTTTTGATGCTCATTGTTACTTGAATTGTTGCTCACCAAAGGCTTGAGCTTTCTCTTTTGTAGTGTGTGTTTCTTGTCCTTGTATCAATGTGGGACGTAGCGAATAGGGTTTTTTATACCTCTTCACTACTTTCCACAGCGAATTGTCCTTCGGGTTAATTTCGGACAGGGTTTTTTGCCAATTATTGTTTCGATGTTCATTTATGGCTGAATTGATGTATTTCGCAATATCCATGAGCCTAACCCTATCCTCAGTTCTTCTGTAAAGCTGCCACCTTTTTCGTATTTGATTTTTGTTGGCTATTAGTTCTAAGATTTTGGATGGCAGTTTATCGTTATGTTGTGTCGTTGTCTTTAGTGTTGTCGTGTCGTTTCTAGCTTTCTGTAAGACATTTATGAATTCTCTAGTGGTTTGTTCAAGTTGTTCGGTGCTTGTTTTATTATTGTGTAGTGTTAACGTCTGGTTGATTTTTTGTCTGTATGCGTCCTAGTCTGTCGTTTTGTAGTCGTAGTATTGTTTTTGTTGTCTATTTATTTTTTGACTAACCCTTATTTGCAAGCACACTGGATCATGATCTGAATTCATGGTACTGATAGTCCTTATGTTTTGAATATCGGGTATATTTTTAATTACTGCTATATCCAGTGTGCTTGGAGTTGTGCCATTGAATGGGGTGCATATCGGTTCGTCCGTATAGTGGATAATAAGCTTGTTGTCCTCGGCGAAATCTCTCAATGAATTACTTGCGGGGTTGGCCTGATCTCCTACAAGAAAAACTCTGTTAACCTTAGACATTAATGCGTGTAGGTCTGCGCTAATGATTCTCTGACCTGGGGGGTTATACACCCCTATTATTATAAAATTGCAACATTGAATAATTGTGTATTCTACGTGTGGTTCTGTATTTACTTTAGCTATTTGTGCAAACTCAAAATTATTTCTGACAAGAATTGCGACCCCTCCCGCTGCCTGTTGTACGTTTCGTCTGTTGTATCTCGGTCTGTCCTGTCTAAGGATACTGTAATCCCTAACTCTGATTTTGTCCGTTTTTTGAGGTTTGTCCCTGTTAAAATTATAATGTCGAATTTATGCTTGTGAATGAAATTTGTAACAAGACCGGTTGAATTTAGTTTTTGAATCTGTAGCTGTTGAGGTTTTTAACAAAATTATTGTATGTTGTGAAGATGTCTCGTTTGTCTCTACATTGCCTGAAGGAATTGTTAAGATCCCGAACAGCTCGGGTGAGTTCTGATATATTTACCAAC